TGGTTTTTGCAAAGTGTACAAAACTATAAATGATAAGGTTTAATACGAACAGGTTTTGAAGGCATGTTTTTACTGAAGCTGATACGGATGGAAAATGTGGATTCTAGTCTATCATTATCTAACTACAGTCTAATTATCAGAGTTTCCTGGCAACGTTTGGTGATGAACTAAGAAATTGGAAAGCCTGTGATTGGAGTTATTGACTGACGGAATAAAAATACAATATAAAGACACTGCTCCTGTTGCTTTTTGGAAGTTTTCTGAAAGTTCTGTCATGTTTATTTAGGAATCCCAATAGAGATTATCTATAGCATCATCGCTCTTTTTAGAACTAGTCTGGACTGTGTGGTCAGATCTTCCACTATCCCTCATCTGGAATATGAGAGTCTGAGCTATAATTGGTCTAATATCCAAAGCCTATTTTCACTCTGTAAAGCATGACCGCCATGACAAATATTTATATTAATATGTCCGCTAATGACTCCTGTTTTGAAAGTTGCTCCAGAAAGAACACAAAAAACCTTGGTCAAATAAACCTGCAAAGAGCAAGGCATTTTGGAGAATAGAAAATTTATACTGCATGAAGAGTTAACATTTCAGCTATTTATTTAAGATGTACTATTTACTGTAAGTATTATATCATCTGTTTCAATGCTATCACTGTTCATATATTATATGAGTCCATAACTACCGTCGAGGCGAGAACTTCTTTTAAAGGTGCACTGCGCAATTTTTCCAGTGGAGGATCTGTCATCTTTTTGTCTCCATGTAGAATAGGGTTGACTCTCCACAGATCTGAACTGTAATGTAGAGTAGTGCTGTGACCTCCTTCTCTCCCTGGTGATAGATAGGTTTAATCTACACTATGGAATATTCTAGACAAAGCAATAACATTTCCATGGAGATAAGCAGGTGATGGACCCTCACTAGAAATGTTTAAAGTAATTTTTAAGGCACTAGAAATTAATACTACTCAGTGACATCAGTATTTACAAACTCCCTCGCACACATAATCCCTGTTTTGTCAAAGCAAACAATAATGGTAGGAACTGAGGAGAAAAGATTGGGATTTCCACCAGCACACTGGATAGACTATTGAACTACTGGCGTCATATTAATTATCTGTATCCTTCTAAAACAGGTCAGATAAAAGTTGATACAATCTCCAAATTTTTACTGAAAACCCTCTGCATCCCTGCTTCTCTTGTTCGTCAGTTGTCCCTCTCACATCCCAGGATCCTCTGAGGTTCTTGTCTTTTCCGACTCTCTCATCTGGAGGGAATCCCTCACGGATGACTCTTAGAAAACACTTCCTACAGAGCAGGGCAAACAGGCCTGCAGGCTACAGCAGGCTAACAATGGCACACACCAAACATCCACACACTCCACACAGTGTGCGGTTTGCATCACTATCCTGTGGGCCACAAAGGGGAGCGCTGGGGCATATGAAAACACTAGTAATTATTTTCATGGTAAAGTGAGCTTTGCTTATTTATATCTCGGGAGATCCCAGGAGAGTTTCTTTGAAGAATAAATAACAATGACAAATAATAATAACAGAATATTATTATACAGTCAATTTGTATAATAATATTCTGTTAGCATTATACATAGCCAATTTTTATAATAATATTATCACATTATATTGTTCATGGTAAAAACTAAACTGAGCAAATAAAGAGAAAAACTTGACAACTTGTAACCAGTAATCTTTCAAATAAGGGCATAAAGTGATATTCCTGCATTTTAATGTTTTTTTCTGCCATGATTCTAACCTATAGATAAATGAGGATTGCAGGAAAATAACAAGCAAAAATTATTTTTAATTCAAAATTTGCTAAAATACTATAATAAACATTTTATCCACTGATTGAAAAATGGAGATCAAATGTATTGCAAGTAAACATACTGTACTGATTTTTGACCATGTAGACGTAAATACAAATATGTACGACCAGATTTAATCAATACTCCTTTTGTGGTGTTCTTGAGATCTCTCTATGACTCAACTCTAAATTCTTAGTTTGTAATTATTCACACAGCGTTGGGGCACTCTCACAAAGCGTCTGTTGCTGTGCAGGCTTGGTGGAGACTTGTGGAAGGTGTTTATTGGAGTGGATGTTGGAAAGCCAGTCTCAGCTCTGACCTTTGATGGCAGCGGCAGTAATGGCTGTCACCACTGTGGCACAAGCAATCATTTGTGATGTGAGTTCAACCCGAGAGTTTGTCTCCAAATATAAAGTTATGACTGTGTCTGTGAATGGTAATTGTGGTGAAAAGTTCTGTATTTTATGGCTGCATTCAGTCATGAGCTTTTCCAGATGAATATAAAACAATGTTATTGAATAATTCTCTAATGTAATTAGAATTTTATTGCCTATTTTATTCCATGGATGATTTAGATCCCAAGAAGCAAGAAACGCCAGAAAAGTCACACTAATCCACTAAGAATACTTTTATTTTGCCAGTATAAATCAATGATGAAAATGGCTGAAAGGGCAACAAATCACTGTCTTCTGCCAAACAAGCATAACTTAAAAGGTGCCCTGTTCTGGAGGGGGGTCCCCCCCTGTGGAGATGTTCCAACGTATGGCGTCAAACTTAATTTGCAGTTATTCTATTATAAGAATGTCACCACTCTACAGATCTGACCTGTTATTTGGTCTGGTGCCATCACCTTAGTTTAATTTGCTCAGGCAAAGTTATAACATCTCCATACATCTACTAGTGCACCTTTAAAGAGCGTTTTGTTGGGGAAGGCATTTCGAGTGAAGATTTATGAACCAGAACCACAAACAACAAGGAATAAAATGCTATGCTATTGGCTAATTAGTGAAGGCAGATGAAGAATAAAATGTAATAAGATGTGTGTATTTAAAGAGAATATGTGGGGAAATATAATTCTTTTCCCATAAATGTGTGTGGTTCTGTCATTATTGTGTTTTGAGGAGACCCGGGAAGTAACAGGTCATTAAAGTTGACATAAAAGCAGACGTAGTAAGTGGTACAAAGAAAAAAATATATATTTTATGACTTGAATTCTCCTTCTTCCCTGACACTGCAGAGACGAAAAACAAACCACTAAAAATGTGAACAGTGGGGTAGAGTTCGGGGATCCCACTTGGACTAATGTCTTTACCGGGAATTAGGGAGAGAGGTGATATGAATGCAGAGAGGAGAAGAGGAAGCACCATGGCCAGGAGGCATGTGTGGCTATGTGTCCGGCCAAAAGCGTGCGTGCGTGGGGGGAGAGCTGGTATACCCTGGGCTTTCCTCTCAAGGGGATCCCTCTGTGACTAAATCAATCCAGGAGGAGGGAGACCCCACATTACAAAAGGCCATCCGCCCACTGTTAGGCCTGTAATATGGTTTATAGGGCTTTTCACAGGGGATGGAAAAGAAGAAGTCTGAACCATGTTAAAGGGATTTCCTATTCATTTTAGCTGGTTTTGGATGACCTGTTCATGCGTAGGCCTAACCGTTTCCTGCTCATTTATATTTTGTGCATTGTTAGCTAAATCTGACACCAAAAGAAACACATTATTGGGCTGTTTGTGTTGAGGTGTAGTGCTGTCACAGAAATCAAAAACATATGTAAGCCAATTCATAATTATAGTAAGCAATGGGATAATTATTTGTTCATGACAAAGAGGAGCAGTTCATTATAGGGAAAAAAACAACAATGGTACCAAAAATTACATGCAAATATACACTTAATTATACTGCTAATTAATCCCCATTAGCCAGGGGAAGCTATCAGGGATCTAAATAAACAACAATAAACAACAAACCTTTAATAAGGTATATATATTTACATATGACAATTATTTTGTCATCAAGTATAAAGGACAACAAGGAGGAACCAAGAAATGACAATGTTTTTATGTCACCTGTATTATATGAGAATGTTCACATGGATTCAAAGAAGATTTATTGCTCTATTAGGCCCATTAATTTTGTATAATGTATTGTGTATACATTATTTATGTGTTTTACAATGATTAATCACCTTGTCTAATGTTCTTACATTTGAAAGTGGCTTTAACTACAAAGGTTGCTTTTGTTTGCATTGATTCAGTGGCACCCATCAAGGAAATGATGCCTGCAAACTTCAGTAGCACTCTCCCACCCACACACCAATTTCTAAAGATGTATGAGCAAAACATAAGCCAAATATTCCTCGCCTTATAATGTTGTTATTGACAGACAGGGTCAGAGTCCGGCTGCATAAGCTGAGGTCAAAGTAGCGTCAGGCTAAATGTCAGGAGTGAGTGAGCGGGTGCAGTGTGACAGAGAAAGTGAGAGAAAGTGAGACGTTGCACATGCCCTGCTTGTGATTCATTCCTTGAGTTGTGGCGAGCACCAATGAACAGGCAATGGAAACTTCAGCAAATGTAAATACGCTTTGGTTAAAAATATAGTGGCTTAATGCGCACCACATGTGCCTCTTTTGGCCTGGCCTGCTCTATTTTGACGGGAGGAGAAACTGGAGGAAAGTGAGGAGGCAAGGCCAGGCAGAGAGAGACGGCTTCAGAGATATTGAATAAGCGGGGGATTGGTAGTCTGTAAACATTATGGTGGCAGCAGCAGAGGGCACAGGGATAGTGGCACGGGCAGAAGCTAAGGCAGTTTCTCTTACTGTAGTGGTGCCAGGGCAGGGCAGGACTAGGCCAGTGGCTGGTATAGTGGTAATCACAGTATTATCGAATAGTAGCAGTATACTATAATGCTTTATTTGTCATTATGCATGCAAGTTGTGCAATGAAATGGATGATACAAAGGGTGGAAATGATGCTGACAGTGACAGGAGAAGTTGTAGTATCACTAGGAGTTGACAGTATTTCAAGCTAGTCAAGCTAGTAAGTGCACACAAATCTAAATTGTGAACTAGGCTCTAATAAAGATGAGGTAGAAATATTTACCAAACCCTAATAGTGACAGTGCTAGCTACATTGGCGTTTCATAGCAGTTATAGTTGCAGCATGAGCGCACGGACTTACCTTGAGCCTTCTCCACAAACACCACTTTGGAGTCAGGGAGGAAGTTGAGGCCGCTCACCAGCATCATTTTGCCCCCGGTGGCTGGATAACTGTCCACGCTCTGCTTTTCAACCAAGGGAAGCTCTTGGGCTGAGCGTTGAGCTGTAGCAAAAAATACAGGGGAGTATAAACAGCTCATTGTAGCCAAGAAAACTGCAGAAATAAGCTCAGAGAATTTATATCAAGACCTCAGTTTAAGCCAACAGCTGCTTTTAAATGCCAGAGACAATTCATCAACATTATTTTCATTGGCGAACCTTGAGAGCATTTGTGTGTTTTTGTGTTTTAAAACGATAGACCTAACCTTCTATGTTTGGTGGCCTCACACTTATATTTATCAAATTAGGGAGTTTATTTAATTTTGGACCATAACATATATAGCAAGTGTGTTATAGCATTACGTCATGTGTACAAATAATTAAAAAAATACATGGGCCTTACTCTTTAAATTTACTGAACCATGAGGGACTAGCGTGTGAAATTTGGGAAACCAGAACTCATTTCTAAGTTTTACTACAGTCACTTAAGCATTCAGTTATAAAATGTTGGTGACCGGCATACTGACTCAAGCGAGAGAAATTTTAGCAAAAGTAGCAAAAGCTAAAAGTTGTGTAATGGCTACTAGTAGTAAAAGTATCAGCATTAATTCATTGCAGAGGCAGGTTTAGAAGTAGAAGTAACATTTTGCAGTTTTTCCTTACCACACTGATTACACTTTATGTACATTTAAGCCAATAGCAGCTTATACTTACAGCACTCAATGGGGTTGGAGGATGCCTGCAGAGACACAGTTCTTCCATTGGGCTGGTTGATGTGCACTCTGAACACCAGTCTCACTCTGGTGTTTTTTCGGCCAATGTCTGTCTCTCCTTTACGGAGCTCGATGTCAGAATTACGCAGCTTCAGGATCCCCGCACAGTCAATTCTGCCAATAAGCAAAGCAAAAAATGTTTGGAAACCACTGATTTAGAATACTGTCAAATCCTGCATTGGTTTTTGATTAGTTGACTAGTCAAACTATTACATATTTATCTTTATTAATACATGTTTTTTTAAATATATAATTTCATACATAACACACACACACAAATATTTTTTTTAAGGTTAAGGGTAAGGTACACTTTATTGATTCCTCATGAGGGATTTCATTAACCAGATAAAAGTACAAAAAAATAAAATAAAATGCTGACTGAAGGCTTCAGTGAATATTTACAGATAAAGTGTATTATTCTTTTTAGGCATTTTGATTTAATAATGGCACTATCTTAGTTATATAACATCTTGGCAAATGTTTTACAGTACGTAGAGTCCAGATAACGATTCAGGATTTTAAAAGCAGTCCTATCAACATAATACAATAAACTGTATGCCCTTGAGTAAGATGTAGCAAGATTAGACATTGAGGACTGAAGTTATGAGTTATGGACCATAGAGGGAACTTCTACTGGAACATGGCAAAATCATTATTATTATAGCATATCATTGAAGTTTGATCTTCACCACTGCATCACAGATTTAAGGACTGAGGGGATCTAACAAGTCTCACAGCAAATACAGAGCTTCAACTTTATAGCTGGAGACCTTGTTGACTGTATTATGTAGACACTAAGTCATACTATTGTGACTGCACTAAACCTGTCCACTCCACTAGCACTATTTAACATTACCATTGGACATCTCCTTCAACCACTGCCACGTGTTGGTCTTGATTTCATCCCACTATTTGGGAGGTAAAAGGGTACAATTTCTGCATATGTGGAAAAAAGGCATTTGCTATGAAATGAATCTTCAGTGGCTGATAAAAAGTAAATGAATACAAATGGGATATGGTTTGGCATTTCAGTTATTTTACATGGTAGGTCTTTTGGGCAGGATTCCTGGAACATATGGTAAAAGTCAAGTTGTCGGCTGATTCAAATTTTCCTTTTGATTTTGATTTCCACCTTCCAGTTACGACTTGAAAAGCTCTGTACTATAATTTTTACAGGAGTTTTCTTCCACTGATTCTTGTATTGAATTAAAAGGTGCATACGCTTTTGGTTGAGTGTATCCTAGACAATAGTTCAGGGCAAACTGCTGGACAATCTCTGTGAGGAATTGCAATATGTCAGATGTTGGTTGCAAAATACAACTTTTTTATACTACACTAAGAAAAAAAAAAAAACAGATAAGAATGACAAATTGAAACTGACAGAAAGCTTGACTGGTTTTCTCGACTTCCTACATCCCACACAGTCAAAGAATGATTATTGGCACGAGAGAACAGACGTGCGTTGCAGTGTTATCGAGGCGACTGCTCAACAGTTCAGTGGAAAGAGACGGTTAAATACTTAGCCATGACCTTTACAGTAATTCAGTTTGGGAATGAAAGACCAAATGTTCACTCTTCGTTTCACATATGTGGCGAAAACTAAAGGGGAAAAGCAACTTCCTTCTGAATATTTTTATATAAGATCGCGTTCATCCCAAGGGACACATTAAGTCATGAGGGAGAGGGCGCTCTAAAATATGATACAATGTGAGGTGTTCTGTGGTAGTGCGGGGTCACTCAAGAGGAAGTGCAAATGTTAAAATCATTAAGGTCATGTTAAATTACCTTACCGATGATCAAGACAAGATTTTGAAAAAAAAACATGAATGGTTAATTTCATAGACTGGAGGTTTCTCTGTGCTATAGTTATGCTAGATGTACTGTCTATCTTCCCTAACTGTGAAATATTAGTTTGGATTACAAAATACAAGTAATTGTTTGACTCTATTTGTCACTATAAAATCTGCATTCATTACGTTTTGTTAAATAGTTTCTTAATTAGGTTACTGGGATAACTTCATGCCGCCTGCTGTAATAATTTATTGACATGAATGGTGCATGTTTAGATAGTTTCTTTAAAGTTTCTTTAGATGTCAAAAGTAAAACAAAGTCAAAATATACTCCCCACACTTTTCTACACTCGAGGCCCCAAACCTCCAGGGGTGCAATAAGTCAGCTGTAGCCTCTGCACAATGCCTCTCATCAGCCATTCTGTTTGTAGAGTCTGCAGGAGTGGGGTTTTGGTTTTGTTTTGGTCTTTCTAAAAAGTGCAAAAAGAAAAAGAGGGATAGTTTGCGCTCACATGGCTCTCATGTTGTTCTCAGGCAGCAGGGGGATCTCGAGGATTTTGGTGTTGGATTGCATGACCTCGTGGCTGGCGGTGGAGACGGTTTTGCCTGTGATGCGGTGGACCTGGTAGAAGGCGTGCGGGCGCAGGAGGCGGTCATCTGCCGTGCCAATGAACAGCTGCAGGGTCAGGGGCTCGCTCTCCATGTAACCGTAAAGCTGCAGAGAGAACAAAGGCACCCAGGTGAGACGCAACAGGCTCATTTAGGAAAGAAAGTTTGCGTGTAAGGTACATTAAGGATAAAAGGTGGACTCATTGTGTTTTACACCTTTAAAACACAATTTGTCCACCTTTTATCTTTTTTTTTATCAACCATGTCACTTTTTTCTGGTTGACAGTAAGCTTGCTTGTCTCCATGGAGATGATCTTGCTTTGTCTAGAATGTTCCACAGTATGGCATTAAACCAGCAGTGCATATTCCAGGTTTGGGGTTTCATTTATAAAGCTTTACACACATTTCCACAAACTTCCTCAAACGTCCTAATTCCTTATCCATCTGAGGCACTGCTTATAGTTAGGATACTTTTTTTTCTTTTTTTTTTTTTCTCCAGTATAGACTCTTGTAATTGAATCAGTTATAAGTTAAATGCTTTTTTGTGCAACATTGCAGGCAAAGCATGGTGACCCCATAGGAAAAATTACACATTGCCTTTAAAATATCGTTTTTATATAAAAGTCAACTTCAGTCAAATGAAAGCACTATTAAAAACTCAACTCTACTACCTGGCATAGTCCCTTCCTCTTTGTTTTTTTGGTTGCATTAGACACCCTTATTTCAGTGGTGGCTGCATTTTTGCTCCTTTTACTAGCCTGACATTCCTTTAAGAGAGGGTTTGATGTCTGGAAGCCCCTCTGAGTTGGGATCTCCAGTGTAAAGAGACATGGAGGCTGAGATAGAGACAGACTTCCTTCATAACTTCACCGTTCATTAAAATCACACTGGTGCTATTAAAATGTGTCTACAGAGATCTGGCTCTAGACTCAGCAGAAAAACACCCTGACAGAGCTGTGGGCCTACATCAAGGCAGTGGTTTGAAGGTTGCTCAGAGAAGAAAATTATTTATTATTTTTGGGGATTTTTCTAATATTTACTTAAGAGAAGTGGATAAAATAAATCTAAAAAATAAGTAGTAACTACAAAAGTATACAATCAGGTTTAACAGGGCAGGTCTTCTCTCGGGTCTTTTAAAATAATGAATCTGATTGACTTAAACATTACCACTTCAATCAAGTCAAACTAATACAGAGAAATAACTCACACACACACAAAAAAAATAAAAAAATAATAATACAAAAAGATGTATAGTTTTGAGAACATTTTAGTGAATTTGTTTCACATCTGATAATCAAGAAAAAACTCTACTTTTAAAGCAGGTAATCTGAAAGGGTACATTTACACCTGCTTGTAATATAAGGTCATGGATCATGTAGAGCGGGTCTACCTTGTTACCTTTGGCAGTTATGAACATGCATTATGATTTTCATTAAAACTCTGAGACGAAGTCCAGCTGTGATCAAAGAGACTCCAGTATCACAACCACCACTTCAAACAAAGACTACTTCCTCTAATAGCTCACCATTATCTGCTACCTCTCAGCTAATAAAAAACACAAAATCCTGAAAAATTTCAAGAACACATAGTCAGTTTGTCACACATAGTTTGAAACTTACAAATGGGTCAATGGTAATTTGGGTGTAAGTCTGAGCTGCCGATTCAAATTAGGCATCCTTGGATTGGTTGATAACAGTGTAACATAATTTTGACAATTTGAACAAGTGTGTAAATGGTTAAAACATGAGCATACAGAGTTACATGAGCAAACACAAACTCTGAACAGTGGTTAATGACAGCTAATACTTGAATTGCGATTGACCAAGTAATTTTACCACTGTGGATTTCTCTTGGAGCTAGGAATAAAGACTTCAGACCTCCCAGGAGATGCTTGCTTTATGCACTGGGTACACAGTGGGATTGGCAGATGGTGGCAGACCAAACCACTTCTTCAAACCCAAAAGGCATACGCTCAAATTTAAGTCCAGAGAAATCAAACAATGGTCGCCCAAATATGCATTCAGGTGGGAATCTGACCACATGTGACATTCAGGAGAGGCATCATTTAGTCAAGAGCCATGGCTAACCAAAATGGTCATCTGAAAAATCCCTCAAATTGCTCAATTACCACAACACACACTGGGGCTATGCAGTCATTTTCTTTGGGCTCTATGGAAGTGAATGTAGGGGTACCGTGAAAAGGAATAAAGGGCCTGCTATTTATCTAACAGCCTGAGTCATATAACAAAATGCACACCACATGTAACCTATGACATAATCTGATTAATGGGTTTATAATTAGCACTTGCGGTTGGTCAGGAAAGAGGCAGGCTGTCGCGGGAAGTCTGTGGAAATTAGCGCTAACATATCGTGTGGTAATAAATATGAAGATTAAGTAACGTATGTCTGGACTTAGGAGAGAGCTAGGGATATGGTCCTTCTCATTGTGCAGCACAATTTTCACTATTAATTATGTTGAATAAAAGAGGATGTGACTTGTCACTGAAGCTGAATGTATATCCATATGTCTCAATAATCCACGCAGCAGTGGATATCTGGCTTTGCTCTCTGATTCGGACTTCAAAAGATTAAAAGGTAGTGGTGAAACTAAGGCTGTCATTCAAATCCGGTTCCAGTGGTCCTATTTTACCCTTTGTGTCTCCAGCAGCTGTCTTGACCCGTGCACTAGTCACACATGCAAGTCATCAGTGAGTTAGGACGGGGTCAGGAGCTTCTTGAAGTTTTGGAAACTCAAGGGACCACTTCATTTTCTGTGGTGATCTCACCAGCACAACCCTCTCTGCTTGTTATATTTTACTTATGGTGTCACCAGTGGTAATTATCCTTAGCTGCACATGCTACCAGTTATGCCTGTATTGACTCGCGAGACCACTTTGGTATAAGGTATGAGGTACAAATCCAAAACACTGGAGCGTAAAATTGCATGACGTTCCTTATGATTTAATAAAAGGCAGACGGAGACTTGAAAAGCTCTGTCGCCTGACACTTTTCCCTCGGCGGGCTTGTGTGGATTTGTCACTGAGCTCCTCCATTACCTCAGAGCCATGGGGGTCTGCACAGCCACAGTAAGGGGTGGTCTTCTCTCCCCTGTCTTTCTGTGGTAGCTCACAATGACAGTGGCATCCTCACTCCAACCATCATGACCTCATAGCACACAGGAAGTGATTAATGAGGTCAGGTATTCCTCATGGTTACGTGGGTCTTCCCAGCAGCAAAGTACTAAGCTTAGCCCTCCGCAGGCTCCCTACCTCAATCTCTTTACCATATGTGCTCTCACTGACCCTCTTCCTAGAGCTCCCTTGTGCTTTCACTGAACTTGTGGGATGCTCTCAAAAGCACAGCACCAGGAGGTATAACTTCTTCATTTTATTCTCCAGAGATGAATAAAGCAGAGGAGATGGACAGAGATGCTCCCATTGACAATAATGTGGATAACAACTTCTTCTACAACACAGCTTGAACTTTCGTTAATATTCTTAATAATGCACTGATCTCATCATCCAACTTTTTGATACAATTTGGCACATCATTTGTTCAATTTCCAAACACTTGGTGATAGTTTGATCCATTGTTTTCAAATGCCAACTGCAGCCACTGTGTCAGACCCATTTACACCTCTGACCACAGGCGCTGAGGCAGGGGCCATATTTGAAGGTTGGGGTGCAAGAAAAACAGAGTGGATGTGGAAGCTGAAGCATTAAAGACATAATTGCATGCAGCTGTAGATTGTGGGTCAGCTGCGAGGACGCTGTGAGGACGCGTGAGGCGTCAGGCAGAGACCGGGCCAGCCGCCATTTATCTCACTGTAACCTTTGTACCAGTGTGGATCCATCACAAGCTCATTTGGGGTGTTTTTTTCCATTCTCCGCTGTCATTTTCTTTCAACACCTTTTAACTTTTCGTTTATCATTTAAGTATGTTTGGTAACAGGGCCACTTTCAAACGATAAAGACGACAGACTTTACCATTAACTATTGCAAAGTGAGCAAAATTACAATTTGTTTTGTTTGCCATTTTTGCTGAAATAAAATCTATTGTGCAGGCTTCGTCAAAGGAACAAATGATTGCGGTGGATAGCAGGTAAATGAAATGTGTCTGGCATCGCTTCAGATTGAGTGTGGATCCAGTGCACAGGCAGCCTTCATCTCTTCACAGTGATTTCATCAGGGCCTGGAGAAATGTCATGACTCGTAGATGTCCACGTGGCGAGGAGAATTGGAGAGAGGACGTCTGAAAGTTGCACAGGAGCAGAAACCCAGACAGGAGAAAGACTTTTCCCTATTATCTCCCTCTGCTCACAGTCACAGCCAGTCTTTGCTGTGCCCAATTAAATCACTCATCTCCCCTCACAGACTTCTCTCCATCATATTCACTGCACTCATGTCTCCAGTGGCCCATATTGAATGCATAAGGTGAATAAAGCAACACATGCAATCTTTTAATATTGTGTTTCCATAACTCAGAAATCTTTCCCCTTATTTTATAAGCCACCCCTATCCCTCAAAGTTTGTGTTGAGCAGAGCACTTAAGTGTTATGTCATCAAGGGCAACGTTTCAAAAGTTAACCCATGTCTAGACGAGTGAGGGTCCAAATTACATATAAAAATATGGCTTTGTCACCAGCACAACAAGCCCTAAGAAAATACAACCCTTACAAAGCATTAGGGGTGACTTCGCCACCATGACGACCAAAGGGTCTCAAAAATTCTCCTGATATTACCTAAAAGTAGTGACAAGAAACACATTTTATTCCATATTCAACATATTATTAACTAGTAATTAGTGGTAGTCCAGTACCAAGGAAAGTAAAAGCCTTTTGGACGGAGAACCATAATTTCAAAGTGGCATAAATACCCCTTTGGGAATCAAATAATAGCTCTGGTTAAGCTCTAACAGCTCTTTGGGGCTCACCACAGAATTCAAATATCAAACAAGAGGCTCAGAACATTTAATGAGCAATTAGCCTCACAGTCCCGGCTGCAGCTGATGATAGCTGTGAGACATAGCGTAGTGCACAGAGCCTGATGTCAAGGTGAATGTGCACATGTGAAGAAGTGCGCATATGTTTGAAGGTCTTTCATACTGACAGTGCAATGTGCATCACATAGTGAGTGAGGAGGAGAGATGGGGATTGAGTCACGCACATGTTAATGGGGATGATGGCCACATCCTGCTGAAATTACACCATGTCTGTTGCTGCTTTAGACTTAATGAGAGAGTGGGTGAGGAGTGTGAGGGTTACAAACCCTATAGGCCAGTCATTATCCTATATGAACTAGACATATGCAAGACAGTGCTGCATGCAGAGCAATAGGTCTAATATGCCACAGGTGTTATTGTCTGCAGGATGTTTCCTGCTCAGATTTGAACATCTTTAGGTTGTCTTCATATACACATAACCTCACACTGGGGTATCTTTAAAATATTAACCATGGTTCAATTTGCTCCCATATTTTTCCTGTGGAACAACTCATCAATCACAGTTTCATGGTTTAAGGTATAGAGCCATGTTGTTGGCTTCTCCGGCTTAAAACGGACCTTTCGACATAGCTGTGGTGAGAGGGGGAAGCGTCTGGAACAGTGAGGGGAGCCGGTGTTGTACCTAGGCTCTCTTAATGGTTCTGTGGTCTGGTGCAGTAAATAAAGTGGAAAAGCAGCCGCGGGGGTCACAAAGTGGACTCCACAGAAGAGGTTAAAAGGCTGCAGACGCAAAGGATGTGAGATGGTCAGAGAGTGAGGCCAGAATAAATTATTGCTATTCGAAATGGAAAGCACATAAAGCACTACTGCTACCCGTAAACTCCTGCTTTCATCAATGTGCAACTGGGGTATACAAACTCTTCCGACCGCAGCCTTCATTTTGATGGGTTTATTTTGTGACGAATGCAACCTGATGTAACCTTTTAGATGTTACCAGTTGTTTTTGGGTAACAGGACACCAGCCGTATATTTGGGCCATAACTTTTTCTCAAGGGACCGTGGCAAATGACTAGCTACATTTTATCCTATCATGTTTTTCATCTGCATGTTTTTGTCTGTGACTGGCACTTTCCAACACACATGTCACCATTGCTTGTGCACACTGGTGTGATCAGCCATGAGCTCAAAAACAACTGCGCCGTGGATGAGTGGCTGCAAACCGAGGGAGGACTTAGCTGCAGGTTTGGGAGATGGATGAAGGGTGAACGGTTGACATGCAGTGACAACCCAGGCTCCCACGGGGCTACGGAGGGAGGGGGAAGGCAGTGGTGCATGGAAAAGACAAGGCGGTGTCCGATGAGAGCTGGGATTGTGACTCCGAACCACTACTCCAACTCAGTGCCAACCTCAGGCCACCCAGGTCCTAATCAGCAGGATGCAGAGTACCTCCAGGGGCCATCGAGCGGGGCCCCAGCTGCATGTTGACTCTCTGTGCCCCCTTCACAGCCCTGTCCTGATGTCGTCTTAGGCACACAAACACATTTCCTCAGCAACTTCCTTACACTCATGTCACTACCAACTTATTCTGCATGAATGCGTCTCATAGATCCACAGTCACTCATTATCACACTGCCAGGGACGAAACCCATGCACACAAACAAAAGCCTTGCCTATACAAAGAAGTTGTTTTATGATACTCACCTGGTAAATCATGCATCCCATAAACAAAAACTACTTTTTATTAGATTTTCATTTTAAATAAAATATTGAGTCCAATGTGCCAATGAGCCAACACCAGCCTCAGCCTTTACCTCACATTTTGCTTATTTTATGTATATGATCAATAAACAGAAAGTATTATCAAATTACACATGACTGTCATTAGGTAAAAAAGAGCACAATTATTAACATTGAAAAACTGGCAAAAAATCTCATCACATCTAACCCTTTCTGTGCAGTGTGCAGTGGCACATGTATTGAGCCATACATGTGTATTGTGTTGGTAAAGTTGTGCTCTACAAGCAGAGTTGATTGCCTATTACATAGATCCTATGTCATCCAGATGTCTTGATTGACTACACATGCTAAATCAGAAACACAAATCATCCTTGGGATTAAAATGTGAGCCTTGTGCTCAGAGGCCAAAATCATAGTTTTCTCCATGACTCCTCCTTACTAATAAATGCTTCCCTTAAATAGTAAGACCTAAAACATCCTTGAATAAATGGCGAGTTCTTATGATAAAATAAACATCCAAAGTCATCAATCTACATCTGGACAAAGACATTTACTCATGACTTAAACATGGGCCCCCGGAGTGACTCATAAAGTGACATAAACGATATCCAAAAGCAGCCTCACCTGCAGCAGCTGTGCTCTGCTCAGCCTCTTCGTTGCATGGGGTAGTTTGGTTGTGTTGAAATACGAGGCTTAGTAATGAGTGTGGACAATTAGTTATATTTACAGAGAAAACCCGGAGAGCAACAGGCCTGTTTGTTGCAGTCACACGTCAAAGGCTTTTGACACTGAGCAGACTAGTGTATGCTGACAGCATCTATTTACTGTGCTTGTCCCAACAACTGAGTGTTTAAAGATGGACCACCTCAACCTAAGCAATAGTGGGCCAGAAATGTCTGGAAGTGCATTTTAGACTATTTACCATATGGAATATGTACTATCTAGTAATCTCTAGACAACATGTGGAAATCTAGTGTACATCTCAAGCTTTATTATAGTGCCCTTACCAATTATCTTTTATTTATGTTACAATTTTGTGTCGCCATCATAATCCATATTTTAATCATTGTGTTCCTCATTTACATCAATATATATTCCATGTGCCAGCTATAGTTTGGAGTTTGCAAATCAAGCCTTACATTTACAGACATATTTAGATTTAACAGTTAATGCAAACGGACCATCAGGCCTTAAGGACGTTGATACAGCTGAGTCCCTGGTCCCTCCTTGAGTAAACCAAGATGTCAGCTGTGGTGTGAGGACAGTGCGGCAGAGAAAAGCGGCTCTGTGCGCGGCCTGTGGCGAGACTGACGTGTGCACTGGAACTGTTGGCCAAGCACAATAGTGAGAGGCGATGGTCTTGTTCGTTACTAATTGAGTCAGTATGCTGGGCTGCTGGTCTGAGTGACCTTTTACAGCAGCAGATTGACTCCAAGCTTCAGGGAACATTAATAACACAGCTCACAAGCACATACAAAAACACAAGCTGGCTGCATTGAGTACACAAGACTTCACTCACAAGTTAACAAAAGGGCAGAGACTTTTCTTCAAATTCAGAGCAAAAGTTCAATGTCGCTTCTTTATTGTTAAGAATGTGTAATCCAAATGAATGTATATTTGTATTAATAGAAGTGTAAAAGAGGCATCTGAAATAAATTATGGTATATAATTTTGTTTTTACCAGCTGTACATTTTTTTTCTCTTGTTGTGCCAACTTATACTGTTACTTTGCAGTAATTGTGTTATTGAAAAGATTTCATTGAATTATTTAAGATTAAAAGACAACAAAGTTGTCTGAATTAAATCTGAATTAATGATGTTTGTGTTTCTTTCATATTTTACTTAACTAAAACCCAAAAGTGTATTCAAGTTAGTGAAAGTTGTCTTGACAATAAACCTATACCTAACTGTATGGTATGGTACATACCTGGACTACTGGGTGTCCTCCAGACAAGGCCTTGACTGCTCCGCGGCTGCCCTCTGTCTCATAGTGCGCTCTGTGGTGGGACTTTGGCTGCACCTCGATCTGCAGACTGTACGGCCCTGAGCAGGAGGGGAGCTGCCAGTCCAGAGAGGGCAAAGACGGGCTGCAAAATCATCACAAAGTCAGTGTAATAAGTAAAGTGCATTATGTATGTTATGATAATTACATGGTTTAGACATGTAAGACAGTTTAAGTTGCTGTTAATCCAGGAGCATATGGGAAATCCCAGTCAATTTGTGTATGTTGTCTTCTGATCTCACATGTCAAGCTGTCAGGTTTTCCACAGACAATGACAGCACCTCCAAAAACCTTCAACTCTGATCTATACTATAGCTTGAAATTAGGCCACTTTGTGTAATTCAAATGGCTTCTTCCTGCTTCCCTTCCATCACTGTCTATTATTGTATCAATTGAAGTCATTCGCTGACGTGTCTAATTCCTAAAGTCTGGCTAATAATTAGGTGGCCTTTTTACGAGTAAAGGAAATTAGAGCAGAATGTGCGCTAGTTAAAGAGTGGTATGTTTTGTATTACAGTGTGACAGGTGGAAATAGACACAGTTAGGAAGAGTGACAGTGCAGAGATAGACGTTTCTAGGTTGTAAAAACAAATCCTAGTATCCTACATTTTCTAGCAAGTCCTATCTTTGAATTGTAATTTTTTTAATAGAGTGAACTTGTGTCACTCATTGTGATTTGACATGATCACAATTATGACATGAAAATAAGTATTGCAGTAAAGAAGAGTATATCATAGAGGAACAGCTGGCTGTATTGGCCACCATTGTTCCAGATGGGGCATAAGGTTCCCAGATGAATACAGTGGAGGTATCTTAATCAAAACAAACATATGCAAGACAATATTTCTCTACACCGGACGCTCTGACTTGAAGGGTGGTTTGACTGAAACCAATCTCTGAATCTGTGTGGACCATGCAGCCTGTTTGTTGACCCAAAACGCAGTGATTTCCCCTCAGCAGGGCTTTATCTAGGTGCTCAGAGCATGACATCACACTGGCTGCTCACAGAGAGATGGGCCGACGAGCTGATTAACCCACAGACGGCTTCCCCCTCAGCCAGGCCTGTCACCAATATTTCCTGCAGCACACTATCTCCATCAAACACTTGATTTCCGCCAGGGAAGTGTTACAGAGTTGGCGAACAAAACAATAAAAATCTTTTCTGTCTAAAAAACAAGTTGCTCATAAATTTTGAATAACATTTTGGCAATATTTCACACTACCTGACTTAATGTAATTCCTCATTAAGACAACATATAATAACCCCACTCCTGTAACCTTTAACTCCTAACCCTTGCGACTATCTAACTGCATGTTATTACAAAGTAACAAGTGCAGGGAAATAAATAGTGACATTTTTAAAAATAAACACTGTGAAGTGTCTGTGTTCTGAGTGTAAATTTTATTTTTCTTTATTCTTTTTCTTCCCATTGAAATATCTGTCAACAAAGATGTGTCTGTGAGGTACCTGAGGTATGGCTTGGGTTTGGACCAGGAGTATGGGTGCTGGGGCACATCCAGGAAGCCTCCACAGTAGCTCTCCTTCTTCAGAGCCAGTCGAGAGGCATACTCATCATGACACAGGTCTGCTTCTGGACTCAGTTCTTCTCCACTGGGCTCTACCTTTAGGCCCATGGATGCTTGGTGCTCCAACATGGTCTTACGTGTCTTGATTGGTATGCCCTCCCCCATGTCCACCACCCCATCTGTAGTCAGGGCGTTTATGGCTGCCACAATTGCAGAGTTGGTGTACTGGTTTGTATTGGCAATCCAGTTCTCATCTGTCACACTAACCCTTGGGGACCCATGAGGAGACGCAATAGGCGACTGATTTGGTGAAGTCTGACGGTATGTGTTTCCATTCAGGCTGTACTTTCTCTTCCCTATCCCACTTCCATTGCTTAAGACCGCACCAGTGCTGGATGGAGAATTTGGCCTAGATCCACGAGTTTGTGAAGGCCAGCCCTCTTCAGCCACTGCCCCAATCTGAGGGGAGGTAGAGGGGGAGTGGTGGGGGGAGGCCACTGGACCAGTTGCCAGAGGGCAGGACAGGAGCGAGTTACGTGGGGACACACAGGGAGACTGCCAGGGCGAATTCTGAGGGGAGTTGTCGTAATTGTAGAAGCTTGACTCGTAAGATGAAGCTTCGGAATTGCAGCTCCGTGAAGAGATGCTGCTCGCGGGGCTAAGACAAGTAGGATCGCGGTAGCCTTCAGCAGCATTAGGCAGTGTGAGTGTTACAATCGAGTTGACACCACGTTTGATGATGTGGTCTTCACTGTTGCTCTCCTCGACCTCGTCTTCTGGATAATGGCTGTAGGCTGTGATCTCAATCCTGGGGCTTTCAAGAGCTGGAGCACCGTTAGGTCTTAAGCCATGGGGCAGGTAGTAGGTCGATCCAGGATTGTGGTTGTCGTTTTGGAGGTTGTAGGCCGTCTGGTGGCAGGAGGTGACCGAGATGATTGGACTGGTCTGTAACGTGTGGTACTGGGTGGCCAGGCAAGGGTTCCCCATCCCCAGTGGAAGGGACAGGCTGACGTTTGGAGTGTAGTTGTACGCATCTGGAAAATAAAAAAAAAAGTGCAATTTAGATGTATGAACAAGAGCAGGGAATGTTTAAGTAAAAGCACTGGAAAGGGAGGAGAAAGGACAAATAAGGACAATTCAGGTCTTGGTCTTGTGTTCAAACTGAGGATGTAAACCACAGATTGTTTAATTATTCTTATTTTTATTTGTATTATTATTATTTATTTATTTTATACAACTCTATTATGAATAAATAAGAATAAAACAAGAATAAAAACTAAACCAAGATTAAATCTGGGGTAGAGCAGGTAGTAATCAACTAAAGAAAATCTTGGTCGCCTAAAGACTGCCGAACAATTAGTCGATTAAAAAAGGGGTGTGGCAAAATCTTTTGCCTGCATCTGCTCCAAAATGCAAAATGCATTACAAGCTACTTATGCAAAAGTACTATGAAACAATGTATTTATGCAAAGACAGATTAAACTTCTTTTCAAATTAATTTTAGTTTCATTTGCCATTTTGCATATAAATACCAAAAAATGCCTAATCTTCAGCTAACCCACTCAGCCACTAACTTTTCAAAATTATTAGTTGACAAATTCAAATTCTCACCATCAACCGATTAATCAACTAAATGACTAAAGGCCTCCAGTGCTATAACCGGGAATAAACCACAATGAAACCAGCACATTAACCAAGTACACGAAATTCAAAAATAGCTTTATTTAAAATTACATCAAAATTGTTTACCACCAGTAGTCCCCAGACCACAATTTGAGAGCTGTATTGCTCCACGGCCAAAGTTCTCAGACCCTTTACATTATGGCAGTAATTAACTGTGGTTACATTTCAGAAGAACAATGGCCCCTTACAGAAATCTTCAACCAATATGTCTTTGAGGTCTCCACTGGCTCCCTGCTTCATAAACATCTGGAGAAGTTTAGCAATCATCTCCGAGACTCGGCGTCCCAGTGTGTGGCTCTGTGTAGTCACAAGTTTGCGCCGCCTCTCTGTTTGTTTGATGGCCTGTATGTACTTGGCACTCCCCACTGTCATATGTACTCTACAGGAATTCCTCTAGCCGTGCCGATGGATGCTTTATTTGATTGATAGCATCACTCACGCCGTGTATTAGGCCCTCCCTGGTGGAAAACTGACAGCACTCTCGCACCACTCAGAGCTTGTGATTAAGTCAAACGGAGAGATGTAATACACACAGGGAAAACACAAACACACAAATATGCAAGATCACAAAGAAACAATTGTAGCCATCTTCAAACTTTGAAATTTTGCCCCACTTGAGGCCGAATGCTGTGTCAACATCTCATTTATTCTTCAATGAGTGGTCAAAGTTGGCAGACAGTAAAGGGCATTCCCCTCAGGCTATATTTGTCGACCACAACACAAGATATCTAACACTCACGCTACTTTATATGTAGAACAGACAGGCTAAAATTAGTCTATGGGGGTTTATTTTCAGCGTGAAATAAGTATACCATAGAGTGAAAGGTCAGTGGATACAACAGTAAGGCAGAGGTGAATCAAGTTTGTGTCTGTGGTTGCAGCCGTATAGCAGTAGCGATTCTACAAAAATACTTTCCACTCAGTGTCTATTGTATTTTCTAAAGCTTTCATTAGAGATTTAAATCTGGTGTAAAAGTTGAAAGAATAGATTCCCACAATTGAAATAAAATCAAATTACTTTATTATCCAATATAGAAATTATGGCTGGTACATCAAACAGTGCTTTCAGAATGAGTTGTAAACAGTTAATTTGAAAATTGTGAGTAGGACATAGATTATAGCATACCCATTCTGTCCTCCACAATTTCTCTCAATTATGCTATCATGATCAAAACAGTGGTGACCAAACCAGCGTGACTAAAGAATAGACTGGTTTATCTGCAGGGTTTGTGGTCTGTGCGGCCTCAGACTGACAGGACCTCAGGGAGAGAAGTCAAAGGGAAAACATAGAGCAAAGAAGTCTAAAAAGCCATCCACTGCACTTTCATGACGGAGTTATTTTATTAGCTTTTGTAATACGAAACAATTAAATATAATGATTTCAAACTACCTAAAATGGCAATACGTAATATCAGCAAAATAGAGTCACTACAGGACCAGAACGCAAATCACAGAGAAACTAGCACATGAAAAAGCTAAATCAGGATTAATCTGGACCTAAACCAGGGAGGCATTATAGGTTTCTGCATGGTTCACAAACAAATTAGGACAGCCTCAAACAAAAGAAACTGAGATAATTTCCAAACTTCCAAGTTCAACCAATAAAACATTTGTGCCACGTAAATAAAATGCACCACAGATTGGGAACCACTGGTAAGAGAAACGTGTGCTCATCTATGTGCTCCTAATAGGCAACAGTATAGGCACAGCAGTGGGGACACAGTACTAACAAAGCATAGAGGTACACACACGTCTGTTACCAATTATAAGGCTTAAGTCTGAGAGTCTGAAAATGAGTAATAATAGTAGAGCCAGCAGCCGTCCATTTGAAACCACAAAAGACAAAATAAATCCACCAAATACAGTGCCATCATCAACAGTAGGAGAAGTATATCAAAGAAAGACAGACAGAGGAACGCCAATAACATGCCATATCTGATTGTGCTTTGTGCCAATACACTTTAACTCAAACAGAACATCCTGACTCAAACTTAAAAGAAAAATGTAATATATATTTTAAGTCCAATTCAAACCTAGAAAAAAAGAGTACCATTGAGCCTGTCTACATTTAAGTTCTTATGCAAAGCAGTAGCACACACCTCACATGGAGGTGAGGGCATGTGGCTTCAAAAGTTTGACTAAACAACACAAAGTGCACAGTGCTTAATGGCAGGCACCTGCCAGGTCTGCTCCCATGGAGTAAATACACAGTGTGCACGTGGGTGTCAATCAAAATATGCAAATGAACAACGATAGCTTATATAGAATAAACACTAAAGCTGTATTGTAAACAGAAAAGACCCAAATCAAAATCAGAGAACAGCAGAGAGAGTACAACTTTGCGACTCAAAAGATTGTTTTATTAGGCTACTATTCAGAGTTCTGAAAGGTACAATGTGAAAGACCAAAAAATACCCAAAAATATGGAGAGGTTATTAAGAGTTTTATAACTTTGAATTTCTTTGATCCGTTAAAACGATACGCGTCTTATATGGGGGCTATTTTAAAGAATTCATTTTGACAATTTAAGACCATCTCTATAAACGCCGAGAGTTTGCATTGTGAAAGTTTAATGCATAGCCCTTACCTTCTTCTGCTGACTTCATCTCGCTGCTGACAGAGTGGAGAAAGTCCAGTCCTCGATCTGAGCCGGCTGCTGCTGCTGATCCAAAACTGAACGATGAATGAACACTGAGGCAAAACGCTTCCTGCATTCAACAAGCGGCGCGCAACTTTCTGTTTGTAAAATTTCTGCTGTGGTCAAGAGCAAGAGCAGAAATAAGCAAAACTTTACTTCATACACCGGTAATAGAAAGAAAAAGCATCATTTAGGGTGCTCTGATCTTGACAGCGCTTCGCAGTGTGTGCGGCTAAAGGGTAGAGTTGAACTGATGCTTCTGCAGAGCAGCACCGGTAACCACGAAGAGGAAGCGACTTGAGGTGAGTTTGAATCTTACGAGAGGGTTTTCAAGAGTCTCCCTTAGGTCGATGACGCCTCACTGTTTGTCATAGGGGCCGGCTCCGGTGCTTTTAAAGGTGGAAAACACCCTCCATGCTAAGCCGCTGCGCCCGCCCATTCGGGGATGACGCGTACGCGCTCGTGCAAACCTACTTTGGATCAGACAGATGAGATCCACCGTGGGATCCCGTCCGGAGAGAGGACAGCCGCGCGTGCGTACTGTGTCAAATATTACAGGTTTGAATCAATGTCATTACCTAGTTTGTGAAGGTGAATACCGTCATCTTCGTTGTGTGTCATTTTGCAGGCAGAAATGTAAACTGATAAAATAACGGGTTGACTTTAAATGAATCTACTCAAAGTAATTAATCCCAAAGGGGTTCATTATCTTGTTACAGCCACCATTGAGATCCTATTTATTAGAAGTGTTGTTTTGACAGCCCTTCAGAGCTTAGATTGTGTAACCCTTTTGTTCAGGGAGGAGACTAAACTTTAGGCTATTTATCAGTCAAATGTTATATTTTCTTAGCTGCAATGTGACAATGACAGACAGATGAGCAACTCAAGAGTAGGCCTACTACTCCCAGTAAGGGAGGATAGGAGAGGGTAAAACTGATTAAAAATGCAAGCAGGTTAAAATGCAGAGAATGGTGTTGTATCTGGGAACCCCCAGTTCCTCTTTGGATTGCCTTGCACATCCATTTAAGCCCCTGTTCATCATCCCTCTCATTTCAGAGAATGTGCTCCTTTACAAGAGACGCTCATCACAAAAGCAGGATAACATCGCTTTGCTTATTCTGACAAGGCCTTTTGTTGTATTACAACTTGATTAGTGATCAAAATATTTAATTTATTTCAACATAATTGTCAATGCCGACTTTTACTCTAAAGATAAGAGCACCCTTGGATTTACAGTGAATCCAGTTTGCTCCTGGTTCTCATGGTCAGCTCCCAGACCATTTGAAAACATCTTGTTTCACAGGTCTCCCTCAGGACCAGGGTCTTCAACAACACCACCAGTTTCATATATCAGGACACTGATGGCCCTATAATGGTCCAGGTCGTTAGGAGTGGCTCCTGTGTTATTATAGTACCATTAACATCCTGCATATCCTCCTGATTACTACAAAAACTCACATGCCACAACATTTCAGTTTTTCTTTTCTCTTCTCAAAATGACTCATCTCTGCCATAGTGAGATAACAGTATTGTAATGTGCAACTACTAATCAAATCATTATTTGAATGGCTTCCTTTAATTCCTAATTTTTTGGTATTAGTTCCACTGCTTTATACAATGAAAGTCTACAGGATACATTTACCCATTATCTTGTATACTCAAACCATTTATCAAAATGACATACTGGTCCTCTTCCTGTTATGGTTTAAAATAGTCCTTTTATTGTACATTAATTAAGTAATTAGCTTCTTCAATAGATCCCCGATTTGGCCAATTTGCATAGACACAGTCAGTTTGCATTGATTAATGAGATAGTTGTTTCAGATGTAGAATGAATGGCTGTATTTTGTGCCAGTGAAATACAACCTCGATTATACACATCTGTGTATGGAAAGAGTAATGACAAGCAAATCCTGTTTTTAACAAGTAGGAATATCTGAGCCCTGCTAACTGATGCAATTAATGATGGGTTAGACAAGCTACAACATACAGTAATTCCTTTTGAATCTGAGCCATAGAGTGTGAAAAAAAATCAACTCCCTGAAGGCTGAGATGTAGCTGGCAGAGTTTAGGATGATCACACATAATCAAAAGCAGAAGGAGATGGGGTATGGGCAGACCGTGCACACACAGTAACAGTATAACAGTGTTTTCTTTGCCCACAGTAGCTCCTCGCCGTCAGTTGCGGTCTTGGCACATGTGAGGCCTGAGATGAGAGAGCAGGCATCACGTACTTGAGGAGATGAATTATGATAAAACGCAGTGGTATAGGAAAAAAGTACTAGTACATGTCTGATTGGCAGTGTCAGCAGTAGGGGCTGTGTGGCTGTGGTTAAGGTTAGCTCCTATGGCAGACTGGAGAGACTTATCTTGATGAATCTTGTGCTTGTGAGCAAAGTGCCATTAGCCGTAACATCTGTCAACAAGAGTCAGTCCAGAAGAGATCCACAGTGACGAATTACACCTGACAGTTCATCAGGCACTAGTGAAAGGAGACACTCAAGATTTAGACTCTCGTGTGGAGTCAACAGTCATATTTGTTGTTATTGTCAGAACATGGATTTTCAGGTTGAGATGGTAACTCCTCTTTCAAATTTGACAGTGGATAAGGAAAAGCAGAAGCAGAAATAGAGGCTGAATGACTACTTTACTTATACTGTTATTATCCCAAAACTCCAAACATTCACAGTAGGTAAAATCTTTCAGCTAAGGTAGTGCTGACCAAGCTTAGCTCAAGGTCTGGAGCTCAGTCTGTAGGTACTACACTGTGGCACTCATAGCTTTGGACAGGTTGTGCCAGTGGCACTGACGGATAGGTCAAAGACAGTGGACAAATTTTATGTTAATCAACCTTATTTTACATAAATTAGTATTATTTGATGTGGCATACATATCACACATAGCACTACCCCAGTACTGTCTCTAGACTTTTGCATATTCAGGAAATCCTGCAAGCTCAATACCCATTTGTTTATGCAGTTGATGGAAAGCAACCATTCAGAAATGACAGAAAGTACTTGGTCAAGACACAAAAAATGGAACATATATCCACTATAGAGAAGTCTGTGTACTTTCATGTCGTGCCAGTATCTTTTGACAGAACTCTTCTTCCTCTTTGTTAATGACATTTTGACAAACCCCACTAGAGCTGTAGTTTTCAAATGGGTGGTACGCCCAGTCTGAAGGAAAGTGCCTCCACATTTCTGGAAATGTAAAATCATAATTTATTGCTACTACATCTGGCCTTGTGACTGTGCAACTACACTGCAGCCACAACATGTCTGTGGAGCGCATTAGTCTTGTGTGTGTGATTTATGAGTAGCTTGCTCCCGCTCGCGTGTTTTGCACAAAATGATCATTGCTCATGGCTTGTAAACAGACACATTCTGCTTTATCATTTAAATGGATTGAGTTGCTTTGTTTTGTTCATTTGTACTTGTGCAATTCTTCCACAAACATAATGTATTTTGTAATTTGCACCAAGTAAATTCACATCACTGTCTTATGTAACAGTCCTTTTCAGACAGTAATAAAATCTGTTTAACAATATGGATTATTTCAATCAATATCTATGTACAAATAAACCAATACCACAACCCTGAGTAAGATTGATGCAGGCTTTTGGTTGCTTTTGTCAGTGTAGATATTTGTCCTGTGTTTGTGTCCCTAGGCAAGACACCCCTTCCCGTCATATGGATCAGTTTTATACAGCACTTAAAAAAATAATAATAATGATAATAATAATAATTAAAGTGCCATATAAAGACCCGTTACAGTGCATTATTCATTCATTGGACACTTGGTGGGGGTAAGCTATTGCAGCCACAGCTGCCCTGAGGCAGACTGATACAAGCATTGCTGCAAATCTGCACCACCACCATGCAGACACCACTTTCTTATTAGGCAATATGGCTGAAGTGCTTTGCCTTAGGACAGGAAAACATTTTTTTGTCACTGGCACCCCACTGTGGCACCTGATTTTCCCAGCAGTCTCCCATCCAAGTACTATCCAGGCCCAGCCCTGCTTAGTCTCTGAGATCTGATGGGATCAGGCTTTGACAGGTCAGAATGGTCACATATGATATAATATGTGATGCCAGTCCTGTCATAGGTGCATATTACTGACACTCACATGCCCACGCCCAGAGCAGAAGGCTACAAAATTTGCTAACTGAGAATGACTGAGGAGTGAATGGATAATGGACATCTAGTTCTTTGAACGGCTTGTACAAAGAAATATAAATCTCATTAATACTCAATCTGAACTCATCAATCTTATTTAAGGGGTAATGAGCTTTGTATTGAGTCATAATGCATTTATTGTTTAGATTTATTTTGGTATTCCAAATGATCTATGGAAAGAAATGGTTGTTCATTGTTCTCTTTCTCTATCACCAATCAGGGCTGATAGTAAAAGAAATAGAAGCGCATTTGAACAGCATAAATATAGAAAGAAAAGTATAGAACATTTGAATTGAATTGATATATATATATATATATATATATATATATATATATATATATATATATATATATATATATATATATATTTGGGGTGTCAAATTATCGCGTTAATTGCGATTAATTAATTAAAGTCATATTTAGCGCGTTATGTTTTTTAATCGCGTTAATCTCATTTTTAATCTCTAATTTTACTGTTTCTGTATGTGAGTTGCTTTATTATAAAACCTGTTTTTATGTGTTGTTGGGACAACAACACACACACAGACACACACAAAAAACACATTTATACACTTTTTTATTTCGGTAATTCCACTCATTGCCGGAAACCCGCACAAAACACGCGCAGTAACGAGGTCGAAGAGCCAGTAGAACAGAGGCAGCAGTGCACAGGTAAAAACACATTCGTGTCTTGGAAATTATTCTCCCGACGTGAAATATAAAAGAAAATAACAAATATAAAATCACCTACAACTTAAATGTCACTGGTGAAAACAACCTGCATAGACTCATGATGTCTGCACTACTGTCCTATAGTGACCTGCCACATGAGGGGACACGCACACAAACACAAACACACACAAACACAAACAAACACACACCTTCATCATCGTCATTAACCTGAGAACGCGCAGATCACGTTTCCTTCCGTAGACACTGCGCCGCGTGTGGATCGTGTTTTCTCGCGTACGCTGCGTAAACCGCGCTTCCTCCTGTGCGCCTCTAAACCAGAACTAACACCAAGACTAAAACCAGGACTAATCCAGTCCAGGACTAAACCAGGACTAAACCAGGTCTAAACCAGGACTAAACCAGAACTAAAACCAGGTCTAAACCAGGTCTAAACCAGGTCTAAACCAGGACTAAACCAGAACTAAAACCAGAACTAAA